CCTAGAGTCAGGTCCCATGGTGCTAAGAGGCTCATCCCTAGGAGTCAGATCCCACGGTGCTAGGAGGCTCATCCTAGAGTCAGGTCCCATGGTGCTAAGAGGCTCATCCCTAGGAGTCAGATCCCACGGTGCTAGGAGGCTCATCCTAGAGTCAGGTCCCATGGTGCTAAGAGGCTCATCCCTAGGAGTCAGATCCCACGGTGCTAGGAGGCTCATCCTAGAGTCAGGTCCCATGGTGCTAAGAGGCTCATCCCTAGGAGTCAGATCCCACGGTGCTAGGAGGCTCAGTTATATTAAGAACATGTCGGAGGGAACCAGCAGTTAGCATAATGACTATGTTGCTGGAGTCCCACGTAGTTGACCGCGGTTTGCGTCCCGGACCCGGTGGCTTAAAACTCACGCCAGGCGCATGTGTGTGCGTGCCCAAGATCCCGAGAGGAGAATGGAGAAGGGATTGCGGCGTGACCATCTCCCCTGGGGGGTGATTTCTCGCTTTCTGTCTCTATGTCTCTGTCTGTCTGGTGAGCACACGTGCCCTATAGCGAAAAAACCTCTCCAAAAAAAAAAAAAAAAAAAACCCCAAAACACCTCAGTACAGTATTGGGATACAAAAGAGTATAAGTAACAGAGTATAATCATAAACAAGTCCAGTGACATAGCCATTATGCTAACTGTTGGTCCCAACAACAATAACAACAACCCCCCCCTTTTTTTTTTTGCTGTTACTTTGGATTAGATTGACCTGTTTAGACTTTTGGGAACCTACCCTCAGAAAAGAAAAAAAATGAGAGATGCTTTTAACAAACTCTGACCAGAGCCTTGTTTTTACTGTCAAGCAAGGCCACAGAACTGTTTCATCCTATTACCACAGATGGCTTAGGTCACAATGGCATGTTATTTAATCAAGGTGTCAGCCATTTGTGTGACCCTACCCATCCCATACTAAGACAGCCTTTTAGGTAAGATGGGCTTTTAGATCCCTCTTAAGGGTTTTTACATAATACATTTAAATATAATCTTAATAACTTTATTTAGTTTGTCCCCACAAAAAAAAGTTAAAAAGAAAAATATTTGTATGTCCAACTTGTAGATTTTTACTCAAACGAGATTTCAATGTTTTGTAACTTTGTATGTAGAATAACATATATTAACCTTAATTTTTACTCTTTTGTAACCTTAATAAAATTTTTTTTAAGAACTATGTAAAATTCAGAGAGAGAGAGCAGGAAAGGAGGCTGTCGGGTCTGGGATTTGAACTACTTTTATCCATATGGAAACCCAGTATCTTAACCATTATATCACCTGCCAGCCCTCTTAACCTTGATTTTTTTTTTAAAGTAAGCAATTTGACTTGTCATTTATTTTTAACAATTTTCCTATTAAGACAAAATGACTCTAAGAGTCAGAAACCAAGTGAAAAACTTGACAGTTTATATTAAAAAATAGTAACTTAACATAGCATTAATTTCTTTTAAGATCTAAAATTACCTGAAAACTTTATAACATTGTACTTACAACAACCAGATCTTAAAAACCTATGCCTGGGCTATCTAAATACCAAAAGATACCGAAAAGTCAGTTACTTATTTTTCTATTTAGCTTTTTATAACATGTTAAATATGTAGACTATAATGGATATCAGATATGAAGTTTATTTTTACTAAGTCAGTAATACCAAAACAGTTTTGTAGTTTGATTGGTAAAACCTAGGTTGACAATTATGAAGTCATCTTTAACCTTTATTTTTAAATTTGTAGTAGATTTATTTACTTTAAGTCACGTGAACTTGAAAACATTTGGATAAAATGCTAAGAGCGCTCTTCATGTGTTAAATTTAATGGAATTCCTTAAGGACTTTGCCATATAAACATAACATACAACATATAAGTACAACACAAACGAACATATGAGAGAGTTAAAAAAGTATCTCTGTGTGGGGAACCAGCAGTTAGCGTAATGGCTATGTCACTGGACTCCCACATAGTCGACTGCGGTTCAAGGCCCAGATCAGGTGGCTTAAAACTCATGCCGGGCGCGTGTGTGTGTGTGCCCAAGATCCCGAGAGGAGAATGGAGGAGAAGGGATTGCGGCGTGACCATCCCCCCTGGGGGGTGATTTCTCACGTTATCATCCTCCTGATATCCCAGATACATACACAGAAAATTCACCACTGGAATGGGACATGGATAACACTCAGGAAGTGCATCCACATGTGGATACTAATTCCTTCAAAGACTACCCTGGCCATGTGTGATGAGATTTAATTTCTCATGTGAGATATGTAAGTGCAGGAAAAGAAAGAAAAAAAAAATCAAGAAACCAAAACAAAGAAACTAGATACTAAGGATAGACTCATTTCCTGCCTGGGAGTTCTGATATTCTTCCCTCTGTTAACTCTCTATTTCAGTTTTTTTTTTTTTTTTCTGTGACCATGTCTCTATTTCTTCATGAGTATGAAACAAGGGAATTAATTTACTTACTGTATCTGTACTGGGTGCAGGGCCCGTGTACCCCAACCTCTTGCATCCTTCTTAAAACTATGAATCTAACTTGAAAAGGGCTAAGACTGGGATAAAAACAAACCAACAAAACAAAGCAAAACTTTTCTAAGGGGGCTTGGAAATCCAAGATTTATTTACATTGTAATGACCCACAGTAAAAGAAAAACTGAAACTTTGGTTATGATAAAAAAAAAATAATAAGACAAAGGCTGAGAGAAGACTTCCACTGAAAGATATACAGGTTTTAAAGGAATAACAAAATGTTAAGATGTTTTACAAGATAGAAAATTGCTGTCTGCTAGCAAATGGGGAAAGAAAGAAAAAGACCCCAGGCCTATTGCTGCCAGAAAACTGATGATTTGTTTTGTACTAAACAGAAAATATTGTCTAGGACTTTGCAAATCAAAAAGAAGTCCACCAGATGAACACACCCTCTAAAACTGAAAAAAGTACATGATCAAACTTAGTAGAGACTTAATGCACTTGAAACAAAAAAATACGAAGATTACATGAAACAAAACTCTAGCAGAAATGGCCCCTTGTAGCATGAGCTGCCCTGCTTAGGCTTCCCTTCTTCCTATAGGTTCATCATGGTGACTAATCTGCTAAATGTGTATCTTTCCAAAGTTTATTTTTGGTAAGAGAAGGAATAAGAAAAGACAGAAATTGTCCGGACAAGGGGAGTTTTAGGCACCTTTTTAATAATTGCAGAAGCCAGCTTCTTTTATTTATATATATATATTTTTTCAGACAGCCTCAAATATATTCTTGTTAACTTTTAAAAGGAATTTTGTCATCTTTTTTAAAAAATATTTTTATACTAATAAAGAAGCAACCTCATTTTAAAAAAAATGCAATACAGATTTTGTTAATTTAGCACGCAAAGATTTATCAAAGCTTCTGTCTGATAAAATTTTAACCAAGATCACCTTTTGTAATTTTTCCCATTTACCTAAATACCTGCAGGGCCAGGTGCCCTAGATCATAAAGTTACCTGTGGTGTTCAAAAGGGGTCGTCCTTTTTGCCCTTCAGTACTGTACATATCTTTCCTTTTTATTCCCCCCTAACTAATGTACTTCCACACTTTTAGTTTCTTAACTACTGGCTCAAAGAGGAAACCAAACACTGCACCTTACTCAGAGAGCAAACTAGCCCCCTGCCTGAGGAGCACAGGAACCGCCACTCCCCGCCTCCGCCCCACCTCACCCCCGCCCCCGCGACTCAGCGTGGAAACTGGGACCTCTCGCTTTGACCGATCCCTTGCTTGAGGAGCACGTGACCTAGGAGCCCCCACCCGAGGAGTGCCAACCTGGGACCCCCACCTGAGGAGTGCGAGAACCACACCCCTCACCTGTGACCAGGACCCCTCACCTGAGGAGCGCGCAAACCGGGGTTACCCAAAACAGACAAACATAAAAGACAGATGAACAAGCAGACCAGCTTAGAAATAAACCAAATTTTGGGAAGTTGGAGGCTAGAGGACTTACTGGATTTCCCCTGAGGAGAGGCTTGGAGCCCGAGAGGGCACAAAGGGCCCACTGCTGGTACCAGGTACCGGGTTCGAAGCGGCCCCTCAGAAGATCTCCAGTTCATCTCTGGTCCCATCTGGGTCACCATCTTGTCGACGGAAAAAAAAACCCCAACTGTAAAATTAATAATTAATGCGGTTTATTTCCAAGTCAACTGTGAGTGACCTAGGCCTGAAGAAGAGGCATACATGCCTTTTCTCAGGGTGATCACATTATAGGGGTTCCTTTTATTTGTTTTTGAGATTGACGACAGCATTTAGTGAAAAGATTTTCCATTGGTCTGGTCCAAAAAAAGGCGGGTTTGAGATTGACACACAACATTCAATTAAAAGATTTCCCATTGGTCTGGCCCAAAAAGGCGGGACATGTAGAAGAGGGGGCTTGTAGGTTATAGGTGGGCTCCACAATTTCTAGGTTGGTGATTGGAAAGGAAGATTTGTGTCTTGGGAAGAGATTAGTTAAAGAAAGGCTTAATCTACATCTCAAGGAAAAGGGAAGTTCTGTGTCTTAGTTAAAGAAAGGCTTAATCTACACCTCAAGGAAAAGGGAAGTTCTGTGTCTTGGGAAGAGATAAGCACAAGAATATACTGTAATCGGTTGAAATACACATCTCAAAGATACTATGCCAGGAACAGGAGGTAGGAAGAATTCTTTTAATAGAAAATAAATGGTCTGTTAATGTTTGTGGCATGACTTCTCCAGTCCCTTTTGAAAAGATTTTGGAAAAACAGGAAAAGTAGACTTCTGTCCACATAGCCTTTACACCAACTGCTGGTCTCAAAGATCTAATATAACTTTTTTTAAAGAATTATTTCATTTAACTTTTTAAACTTAATTTATTTTAATTTGACCAGAGAGGGACAGAGTGAGAGAGGGAGAAAGAGAGAGGGAAAGTGAGAAAGCAAGCTGCCAGGTCTGGGACTGGAACTGCAGTCAGCCATGTGGGAGGAGTCCAGTGCCCTTAACCAACATGCCACCTGCCAGCCCTAAGGTCTAATACAATGAAATGAAAGTTGAGGGAATAGCATTGGGACTAGAAAGGCCAAGTTGTAGTTGGTCCCATTATTTGCACGGTGGCATTAACTTTTTTCAAGTCCTGTAATAACCTATATTTTCCTGATTTCTTTGAATGACAAAAATGGGAGAATTCCAAAGACTAAAGGAAGACTCAATGTGTCCCAGTTGGAATTGTTCATGTACAAGCAGCTTAGTTAGCTGCCTCAATTTTTCCCCAGTTAGGGGCCATTGGTCAACGTAGACAGGCTCCCCTGAAAGCCAATTTATTGGAGCTTCAGTTCGAACAGTTGGGGATTTACCAAGGCTCCTATCTGAAATCAGTAATGGAATTTCTTAATCCTTTTCTATCTAAATTTTGGAACGCTGGAATAGCGGAGTGTTGGTCTTGGGCTGTCTTTGCCTAACCCTGAGAAGGTAAAAGGCCCTGATCAGGTAGCAATTGTTACAGGTGAGGAAGGACTAGGTAGATATAATCCATTTCATGAATCAAAGGTACATCACATAAAACATAGGGCTGAAACTCCTGTATGACCCTCTTGATCTGTCTGTCCAAGTAAGAAAGCAGAACTCATTGCTGGCGATTTCACATACCCTACCCCTTCCAAGGTGGAGTTAGTAAATTTCCAGGGCCAATTTTGGGGCCAATGTTTTTGGGCTATGACAGAAACATCAGCCCCAGTGTCTACAAATCCCTGAAATTTTCAGCCTTGTATGGTTAGATTATACTTTGGCCAAGTTTCCTAAATAGCCTGAAGATAGACCTGGTCTGAGGACCCCAAATCCTCCTTGTCCTCTGGGCTCTGTGGTTAATGCTCGCTCTGTTAAAACTGTAGATAGCAGCAAAAAGCTGAACAATTTGAGAGGCGGAGGCTATAACCTTGATTTCTCCAGAATAATCTGCAACCATTATGCCAGGGGTTACTACTAACCCTAAGGGCACACTGCTTCTTCCCCAAATCAATGCCACTGTGCCCTGTGGTAAAGGCCCTTAGAAAGGCCAGTAGGAACTGCCTGTGGACTCATATCAGATGCTAATATCCCCCTGGAGGTGGGGCTGAGATCCAGTCCTGCCTTACCTGGGGTTGCCCGGTAGAGATCTCTGATTGTCTGTGGCCTGCCAGAAGCCTCTGACTGGCTTGATTGTCCTGCATCATTGAGAGTGCCCCTGCTGTTTGACGGGACCAGGGCTGGCCCCATGTCCCATTTCCTGAGGGCCCCAGTGGCCTCCTATTTATATCTGTTTGGGATCTACACTCACTGGCCCAATCTCTTCCTCTCCGGCATCTAGGACATATCTTGGGAGCCTGCGTGGGCGCTGGTTTCGGGCCTTCTGGTCCTCTGTTGGCATATCCCCTTGATTGTTTTCGGTATCGACAGTCACGCGCCATATGTCCTGGTCTGTCGCAATTGAAACAATTACCCTTTGATCTCTTTTGCATTACTTCCTTTAACGCAACTGCTAAAGCTATACTCTGAATTTGTGGTTCCCCAATGTCTTGACAAAGTCTAATATAATCGGCCACTGTCCCCTTTTCTTGGTATGGAGTAATAGCTGCTTTGCAAGAGGCATTAGCATTTTCAAAGGCCAACTGTTTCAACAAAATTTGTCCTGCCTCCTGATCAGAGACCAGTCGCATTATGGCTTGTGTCAAGCGGGAAATAAAATCTTGATATAACTCACTAGGTCCCTGTCGTACACTGATCAAACTGTCTGTCGCTTGATCCTGACCGGGAAGCCTTTTCCAGCATCTCAAGCATATGATGTTAATCTGCTGATGGGCCTGTGGTGTATATCCAATTTGTGCACCAGTATCTGCATTCTCCCCTGTTCCGGTCAACATTTCAGATGTGATAGGTATTCCATGTTGTTGGTTCCTAGTCGCCTGCTCTTGGGCTTCCTCAAACCAATTCAACTTCCACAAAAGATAATCTCTTCTCGACAAGCATGCCTTGCCTAGCACCTGCCAATCATTAGGGGTAAAGATGGACTGAGTAGCCCTCTCTAACACCGCTATTGTATGCACTGCTGTGGGACCATATTGCGTGCAAGCCTTTTTTAATTCCTTTAGAGTTTCCAAGGATATTGGCTCATAATGACGCTGAGTTTGTTCTGGGTTGTCAGAGTCAGGAACCTCTATAACTGGACCTGATAGAAATTCTGAAATGTCCTCTCCTCTATCTGCTGCGCAAAGCAGAGCTCTCTGGAAGGGCGATAAGGTGGAAGCTGTTCTTTCTCTCCTAGCGCCATTTGATATGCAAGCAGGTTTTGACTGGGAAGCAGGTTTTGACTGGGAAGCAGGTTTTGACTGGGAAGCAGCGGGCAGCAGCAGGGGAGCGCTAGGTCGAAGGGCAGTGGCTCCGTTCTCCTCCCTCTCCTGGGCTGCTTCAGAATCTATGATCTTAAGTCTCCCTAGCTTCAAAAGACCATTGTCATTTTTATTATCAGGTCTTACCTCCCTATCCTTGTCTGTAGTTCCAGACTCTGACTTCTTAGGTAGGAGGGAGGTATAGCCCTCCAGAGTGTTTGTTAGTCCACTTACTGGGCAGGCTCCGTTTTCTGGAGGGTTTTGTCTCAAGCACTCCTTAATTAAACTCCACAGGGAGTAGGCAAAAACGGGAATCCTCCTAGGACCCTCTGTTGTATATCGTTCCCTGATCTGTTCTCCAACCTTGTTCCAGGTCTCCTCATAAACTGTTCCTCGCTCAGGGAACCAGGGGCATGTTTCCTGCACAAAATTCAGGAACTGACGTAACTGCTTGATACTAACTTTACTGCCCCTAGCTTTTAACATAGAAGACAACATTTGGACATACGTCTCTCTCTCTTTTGACAGTCGTGTCCCCATGTTTTACACCCAGTGCTAATCGATGCTTGTCTATTTTACAGCTATCTCTTTCTTTTACTCTATTCTTTTACTCTGTTGGCTCCTTACCTTACTCAATTATCTCCGGCAGGCCTCAAGGAGTGTCCACTCCTGACTCTTTGTAGTCCCCTGTACTCAGGCCCATGTCCTGGCACCGCTTGCTGGGGCTCGCTGGGCAGAACACGTTTTTTGAGTGGGGGTGCTGTGACCTGGAAATAAACAAAAACAAACACACAAAGATATACAAATATAGAAAAGTGAAGATCAGGTGGGCCCGACTTCTCAGCTGGAGAGAGCCACAACCACGAACTGTTCCCGGGTTTGTTCTTTTAAAGGGTAGAAAGTGGGGGAAGGGGAAGTGAAATGCAAAGCCAGTTGTTTTGAGATGTTAATCGACTGAAGAAGTGAAGACAATTGGGGCCCTGTGGTTTCTCTGATCTTTTGGGGCCAATTCTGATAAACGAAATTCTAATTCTTTAGAATTATTTTATTTAACTTTATTTTTTTTTTATTTGACCAGAGAGAGCCAGAGTGAAAGAGATAGAAAGAGCGAGGGAAAGTGAGAAAGCAAGCCTCCAGGTCCTGGACTTGAACCACAGCTGGCAATGTGGGAGTCCAGTGCCCTTAACCACCAGGCTATTTGCCGGCATGCTCTCCTGCCCCTGTGGCAAAATTCAAAAACTATATATCAATCCTGGCCTCACACTACTTATAAAAATTAAACTAAATATAAAAAAGTATTAGCTTAAATGTTGTACAGATATTATAGAATGTCTTTATCCGTGGGGTAAGGACAGTCTGAAGAAGACACAGAAAGTTCCAACTTGAATGCCTGGCACAGTAGCTCCTGCCTATAGTCCCAGCTACTCAGGAGGCTGAGGGAAGTAGATTGCACGTGTGAGGCCAGCCTGGCAACATAGATAGACGAGACCATCTCTGAAAACAAGAAACGCCATTCATACTCTAAGGATCTGATGAATAAAATCGGCTACATCAAAATAAAATTCTGCATTATGACAAAAACTACAATAAATTAAATAAAAAGATGGGAGGAAACATTTTAACTCATAACAAAGGGTTCCTATGCAGACGTATCAAGTACTTCTACGATTTCATGAGACAACCCAGTAGAAATGTGGTCATGACTATGAAGAGACAAGCAATCCTCAGGAGAAGAAACGAAATGCCGGCAACCGTGAGATGTCCAACCATCCTAGAAATGATAGAAACACTAAGTAGATCAACAATGAGATCATTAGGTTTGATTTGGGAGCGGTGGCGAAGTCGGAGGCGGCAAAGGCGAAAATACCAGAATCAGGCTTTGGGGTTTAATAAAACCAACATAATAAATTCTGCGCTCTTAGGTGAGGTCCCTCGGCCTGGTCAGAGGCTGAGGGAGTCACACCCAGGGTGGGTGCTGCTCGTTCTTAAAGGACCATTGTCCAATAGGTGGTCACCACGGGTCCTTGTCTGGCCAATAAAGTTCGCTGTTTCTGTTCAACTTTGGCGGGCGCGAAATGCTGAAGGGCAGGAAAGTGTGTTGGTGATGGCGGGCCAGGTGTGGACAACGGGAAAGTTCCCGCTGGCGGGAATGTTTCCGCCATGTTTCTTTTCCCTTCCCCCAGACCTTCCATTCCAACCTTAAAAGGATAAGGAATGATGACTGCTCTGGCTGCTTCAGGCTGTTAAGGGGCATCGATTTGGGGCCCTCTGGTTGGAGGGTCTTGGGGAAAGGGTGCGTAGGGGTGCAGGAGCATCTGATTAATTGCCACTCTAGCGATGGTGTATGCATGTTCCCTGAGAAAGCGTAAAATACAGGGCGCAAAGGCCAGCATTAGACATAGCAGTATGATGAGTCTTAGAAATGGGAGGATCCAGGGTAGCAAGAATTTTAAGAGAGCTGTGCATAGTGCTGCAAGCAAGAGAACACAGTGCCTCCACAGAGGACGAAAATCCCAGCGGGGGGCACTGGGCAGAGGCATTGGGAGCCAAGGTGAGGTTAGACATGGAGAGAGAGACACTGGAGATCTGTGGAGAGGTAGTGACGTTGTGGGTAGAGGTATAACTGACCTGGGGTGAGGGTGGTACCAGAATGGTGACTAAGACCCGTCTTAACAGTGGGAGGCAGAGCCAGCGAGAGTTATTTTGGGTGGGGTCCAGGAAGGCCAGAAAAGTAGAGTTGATTAAAGCTGGGGTTTGGGATAGGAGAAGGTGAAATTACTGGGGCCAAAATTTTCTGGATTGGTCATGTAGGGGGCAGGCAATGACAAACTTGAAGTATTTCTATAATTCCCCCAGGGTCCGTACCCCAGGCATTTACTCAGATAGCTGCCTGTTGGGTGGACGGCCAGAGAGAGACAGATGAGTTTCTGATGGTAAGTGTGACTGGATTAGAGGTCATGGGGGTGCAGCCCTGTGGGGGCCAAAGATTGACCAGAGGGTTGCTAAATTACCCCAAATAGTCAAACTGCAGAGTGACATGAGGAGCGCCTGTCCCAAGCAGTCTTATTGATAATACCTTGATTACCCCATGTGTCTAGTACCTGGAATTCCCATTCTGTAACTGTCAGGGCAGAGTCTATTCCAAAGGCTAAGAGAAGGAGGAGGAGGCTGGGCATGGCTAACCAGGTGGGGAGGAGGCAGCCCCGGTTAGCCAGTCCAGACATTTTAGACTTACCATGATTCTCATGAGTGGGAGGTTTAACGATGTTAGCAAAAGCCTTTTCCAGAACACCCATCCCTGTGGGGCCACTGCAGCTAGTCCAACAGAGAGAACTAGGGCTAGTGTTATGGAGAGGACCTGAACAGGTAATTATAGGAGTAGGGTAGAGAAGACATAGGCTTCTGCTGTGAGGGAAAGAAGAGGGTTTTTTAAGAGTTGGGACTATGGGGTTGACCTGGTCTGGAGAAATGGGTGGGGGAGAGAAATTAAGTCCAGTGGGGGAACAGGTGGGCTGGCAGAGGAGGCCAAGGAAGGGGGAGGAGTTAAATTGAAGGGTGCCGTGTAACTTTGCAAGGATGTCATGGCCTAGGAGGGGTATGGGGCATGTGGGAATGACAAGAAAAGAGTGGGTGAAGTATGTTTTTCCGAGGTAGCAGGCTAAGGGTTTGGTAAAGAGAGACCTAAGGGCTGGCCATCAATACCCATGATAGAGACCTGGGCCAGAGTATGTTGGGAGGACAGAGTAGGTAGCTGTCATGTCCACCAGGAAGGTGAACGACTTACCCGCTACCTGAAGCTGGACCCTGGGGCTCAGCGAGGGTAACTGGGGTGGTCAAGTCCGGGGCCCATCAATCCTCAGCCAATCCCACCCTGGCCAGGTCGAAATCGGGATGATGGATCTCCTCTCAGCGTGGAAGCATTGGGAGTGGATCTCATCTCCCTCTTCTGGGGCAGTCAGAGCCCCAGTGACCCATTTTAGTGGGTTGCCTGGGATCCGGGCATTCACAGGACCAGTGGCCTGGCTCGCCACATTTGAAGCAGTTTCCTGGGGTAAGACTGCGTCTGGGACCCCCTTCTGAAATGCCGGCTGCAGGGCAGCCATCAGGGCTTGGGCTTGTATGGCAGCCATCTGTTTGGCCTGTTTGTGAAGAGCTACCTCAGCGTCCTCCTCTCAGGAATTGAAAACTTTAATTGCCATATTCACTAGGTCTCGCATGGGGTTTGAGGGCCTTGTTCAGCCTTTTTGAGGTTTTTTAATTTTTCCTGTTATCAGTGGCTGCCTGGGTGATAAAATGGGTGGCCAGAACTGCTGCCCCAACAGGATTTTCCAGGAAGAGTAGGGTATGGAGTGTTATAGCCTTAGTGAGGCGGCTCAAAAACATGGCTGGATTTCTTTGACCCTGGGTGACTTCTTGCAATTTGTTATAATTTACTGCCCTTTGGGCTGCTGGTTTTATTCCTGCCTTACGGCGTTGTAACACGGAGTCAGGATGCCGGCAGCCAAGGTCACCTTCTTGGTATCTCCAGCCGGGATCAACTGCTCAGGGATTCCTGAGCACTACCGCTGCGGTGGCGTCCCCTGTGTGGGCCCTGTCAATGTGCTCCCTTCCCACCACTTGAACCCGGCCACACTCGTTGCCATGGTGGATGTCGTAATTCCGTGGACGTCATGCCAGGAGAGGCTATAGGCCTGTGTGAGGTATCTGAATTCCTTGATAAACTGGGTGGGGTTGGTAGAGAAGGAGTCTAAGCACTTTTCAATGGCAGACAGATCAGCAAGGGAAAAAGAAACATAGACTCAAAGGACTCCCACAGCCCCGGCCACTTCCCGTAGGGCAGCCATGACCTGGGGTGGGGTGGGTCATTTGAGCGTGTTCGGCCAGCAATGGGGGGGGACAGAGGGATTGTTGGCCAAGGGGGATGGAGAGGATTTTCAGGGTAGGGAGGTGGAGGGACAGAGGGTTCAGGAAAGTTTAATGGGCCAGTGGGAGGTCTTGGCGGAGAGGAGATTCTGGGGAAACAGTGAGAGCAGAGGATTCGGGGGTTCAGAAGTTTCCTTGGAAAGGCTAGGAGCGGGTTTTCGGCCCTCGCCCGCCTTAGCAAGCAGAATCTGGGAGGGAGGGCAGGTAGTACACGGGTGGGGGCGAGAGTGCGGACGCCAAACAGGCTGGACATATGGGATTTCCTTCCATTCGCCGTTACTCTGACAAAAACTGGTAAGGTCGGTCAAGACGTTGAAATTGAAAGTGCCCTCAGGTGGCCAGACTGGTCCATTGTTTAGTAAATATTTGGGCCAAGCCATGGTCTATAGGAAGACCAGGAAGCGTTTGGATTATGGAGGACACACTCTAAAGCTGTTTTTGGATCAGGTTTGGAGGCAGCAGACCTCGTGACGGATTAGACCTCAGGTAGAGAGAATGAGCCTAGAAGTGTCCCCCCAGGTATAATCTCTCCATGGATTGGAGGGTAAAGGGAAGTATCTATTAGGTGTCCTCGAAACGAGACAATCCTTAGGGTACCCCTGGGGCACCCGAAATGGAGGAGGACGAAGGAAAGTGTCGTCCAGGTGGCCCTGAGACAAGACGATCCTTAGTGTGGCCCTGGGGCACCTGGAATGGAGGAGGACGAAGGACAGTGTCGTCCAGGCAGCCCTGAGACAAGATGATCCCTAGGGTAGCCCTGGGGCACCCGGAATGGAAGGACAGTGTCGTCCAGGCGGCCCTGAGACAAGACGATCCCTAGGGTAGCCCTGGGGCACCTGGAATG